AGCCCTGTTAGTAATACGAAGTGAACAAAAATACTCCGGGAACGTTTTTGAAACTACCTCGTATAGGGGTCACAATAACTAGATTCACAGTTGTGTGTGGTCATGGTATTAGCGGCGCGTCTTGTTTCATCGCTGTTACACACACACACACACACATATACACATACACACGTATACATTCATTAAGACACATATACGCAGTTAACACATACAGCCGTGTTTATTTATTCACAGCCGGCAAGGGTGTTCCACATATTCACTGGGTAGTAAACAGATGATCACATTTGGACGATGAATTTGTTTGTTTGTTTGTTTGTTCAGGAAGAATATCTTTCAATCCCACAAAGAGAACAAACGTTACCTCCTTTCCCCCTTTACTCCTTTCCCCCTTTCCCCCTTTCCCCCTCAGCACAAGAAACATCTGAATATCCTTTTAAAATTCCCATCCAAAAAAGAAGCACACCTCAATAATGTAGTGTGCTGGGTATGTGATGCATGTTAAAGTAGAAAGGGGATTAGTAGAGGCTATCTGGCAAGATAGGTAATAAATAACTGTCTAGGACAGGAAAGGGTTCAGTGGCGGCTGTCTGGCAAGAGAAGTAATAAATAACTTTCTAAGACAGGAAGGAGTTTGGCAGCGGCTGTCTGGGAAGATGAGTAATAAATAATTGTAGTGCAGAAAGGGGTACAGCAGCGGCTGCGTGGGAAGATGAGTAAAAAAAATAGCTGTCTTGTGTAAAAAGGGGTTCACTAGCAGCTGTCAGAGAAATAAAGTTAACACATTAAGAACTGTCTACGAAGATGGGTAATTAACTGTCTCTGACAGAAGCAGGTTCGATAATAGCTATCATGGAATAGAAGGAATCGAATCAATATGTTTCATAAACAGCAAATAGCTCAGTGATCACTATCTGGGAAGACAAGAGATTCAAAAAATACACGGGACAATGGGTATACAGTATTTAATAGACAGATTTCCCTCTGTGGCACACTTACACGCATAGCTTTAATTCAAGCGCTCATAATATAACACTAAATTGCAGCCTTACGAATGGCCAACATTTACCGTAACATGCTTTTTAATCAACTCACATCAAAGAGGCAATGATTGGTAAAGCAATGTATACTTTACTGAATTCAGCCCCCGCCCCATTCCCCTATTCCCCAATTTGTGTAGCTTTAGGCATGTTTCACTATATACAATTCATGACCTATTGAGTCAAACTGAAATCAAGCGTAGCTACGTTAGAAGATTTGAAGATCTGTAATGGGGTTTTTGTTTGCATGTAGACGACAATCCGCTATTCATCGTCTACCTATAAAGTTAGTTGCGTATCCTTTACAGGACGTTGCAGAACCAACACCAGCATTTCTTGGCTGTCGTGGTTTTCCTAGGCAAGTTTAGGTCCAGTAGTTTGCCATTGCTCTGGACGGTCGGCTTCTCGATACCACTGTCGAAACCAGTGCAAGGCCAGCAGCTGGGACCAAACCCGGCACCCCGGCATTACGGAGCGCGCTCGTAACGCCTAAGCCACGGACGCCGACCGTCTACCTATAGTGTTGTTCAAAAGGCAAACAGAGCTAGCAATCGTTTTCTCCATGTTGTTCAATCCTGTACCATCCCTTTGATATTGTGTATGGAATGAGTCCGAAACGCCGGGCAATCTCTTATCAGCATTTGTGTTAGGTTGTCTCGCTATATCAGTTAATTTGTTTTCCATCACAGTGACTATTACTTTACTCTTTGGCGTACTTTGTCTCAGAATGTTCCCAATTTATGATAGTATCTTTTCTCTTCCAACTGTTAAAGCCATTGGTTGTCCATATATTTCTCTGATCTCTTACCGTTTTGAAACCTCATGTTCCTCATGTTCTTCAGACTTTAAACGGTAACTGCAATGTTTTTAAATTTTGTTGCGACCTGACAGGATAGTTTCTTGTTTATCGGCTATGGTTTTAAATATATATACATACATATATAAAACCATAGGCGATGGCTTCAAACGGAAATGTGTATGCATGAAAAAGACGAAATTTGGCTGCTCCAAACTTCAGTACATTTGTTTTAAATTTAACTATAACCAAACAGGAAGTTTCCCAGGTATATCTGCATCTATCTACAGTTTTCTCTACTCGCCGGCACCTATTATCCCTTATGAATATTTTCTTAACCTAATACCCCCATTATCTTGGATGATGTACTAATTACATCTGGTAAAACACTTGTGACCACCAATATACAAAAACTTGACATGAAACTGATAATCAATATGACAGTCAACAACATCAAAATTGATCAGCAAGTTGCATCAATGGAAGATCAATATTATTTGCTAATATAATTCAGCATTTCCTCGCAAGTCCATGTTAACAAGTTGGTCAAACAGGGTGAAAGGTCACCTTTATACTAATTAGTTGCACAACAAACCCATGCAGCAATGTAAACAGTTGTTGTTAGCAAGAAGTACGTATTTATAACACAGCAGAGCACTTGTAAACAGGCAATTTTTCACGCTTTTCAAATTGTCCAGTGTGGTTTTACACTGAATGCATAAAAGTGAATAAGAAGTAAACAACAGCACATTATAACACCATTAGTAGAAATTAATATAAATGGTAAAGATGAAAAAAAAAGGAAAATGTGAAAGGAGCTGTTAGGGTAAGTTTACATTTAATGGCTAATTTTTGTAAACATTAACATGTTTGCGATATCTCGAACATTTAGTGGGTAATTTTTTTAAAACGTGTGCAATTTATCTCTTGTTGTATAGTTAATTCTCCCAAATATGAGTAAGGGATGCACTAAATATAATGTTGTATGATTTATTTCCTCAAATACAAGCAACAGGCATGTTGTGTGTGTATATATATATACATATATATTTATCATTCTCTTCAGTGTTTAATGTCCGTGGATTAGCACGGATGTTCAAATGTTATTTCGTTTTGTTTCCTCACCAATAAGAACATTTCAGTTTATGTAATGCTATAAGCTTATTTTTTAATCAAATACTAAAAATGATATCGTAAGTTTAATATTACTTAGTCCACTCCCTCAAATTAGTAAAGGTATTCGCACATTTAAAAGATGATTTCCTTTCTAATGTTACATTGTTGAGTCCAGGGATGCTTAGAAAAAAAAAAACTTTTCTCATTTACAGCCTTAAGACAGTTAAAATAGAAATAAAGTAAAACCCTTTACAAAACACAACCCAGAAAATGAAAACAATGAAAAATTTAATGGACAACAAAAAAATCAAAATGAAACCAGTATTACATTCTCCAATAAAGCATGGAAGAAAATTTCAAATAACAGTTAAATAAATAACTGAATAAAAAAATATGAGAAGAGCCTTTGAAAGCAGATCTAATTACAAACACAAAATAGTCAATTTAGCAATTGTGTCTAATGTTTCATATACAGAGACGTAACAGGTAATATTATGCAGGTATTGCACAGTTTACAGATAGATAATAATAAGCAATTAACAAATGAAATAAACCACCAATTGACGTTACGAAAGCTGTACCATCAACAAAAATATTCAAGAAATTATTTATTATGCTCAAATACAGCCTTGCTGAAAACATTGTCAAACAAATGCAATCATGACGTTTATGAAAAGAAAAATCAGTTTTTCTATTTCAGTGTCGGTTCCAAGCTGTAACTAATATTGCACATTCTACATTGTCAAATGGTTGTGTTTGTCTCCTAACATACTATCAGCTGGTGTTTAGTGTCTATCTGGTTTGTGGTAATAGGCGACTGATTAGGGGTACTTCATTAGAAGTCGAAGTGCATTTGTCTTAGAGGAAAGAAACCAACAGTCTGATTACAAATAGACCAGATCTGTGCAACGGATGTGCACGCAAAACGAAAGTTCTAGAATACGATCAAAGACCAGATGTGGACGAACAATCAGAACTTATCACCGGATTATGCAGCTGGTGAACACTAAGAAAAAAGAAAAAGCTTCTTTAGAATAAATTCCATATTTTCTACAGCGCGTTAGCAAACCAGAATGCGTTAGCTGTCTGGGTGTTCGCCAGGGAAGATTACTTTTAGTACGATTCTCTTTTACAAAATACCTTATCCTTTACTGCAGGTTTGTAGGAATGCAAAGATGTAGTCTGATTCCGCAGAAAGATATTCCTGGCTCATATCTGCGGGCAACAACTATAATAAAAGTAATCATCGCATTGATTTTTGCAGGTCAAATCAACATTACCTACTTTGTCAATGAAGGCATCAATAAATGTATTCTGTGTGCCAGTTTAGGATAACAAAGTGAATACATATATTATTATTTTCATTCAGTCATCTCCTTGTGAGATGCAATTTTTCGTTATTTTGAAGCCCTACCCTGGCTCTTGCCAGGGGCGGCAATATAGCCCGACCATAAACATGGTCTAACGGATGAACGCGGTTTCTGGGACTTCTCCACGGGTGATCCTCATCCACATGGTGGAACTTATTGTCATCGGGTGTTTATCGCTTGTGTGATCTCCTAGTGGGGTAAAAATATACTACTACATATATTACTGAGAAATTGTATATGTAACATTATTCTTTCCAGTAGAGTTTTTCAGTAGTAATATACACCAGCTGCTGTTTCAATAAATACAATCACACGGTAGGGACATTAAAATTCAGCTAACTACAAAAGATTTCGCTTGAGTCGTCTAGGACTTTAAAATTACAGCCTCTGTATATTCTTGTTTTAATAATCTGAAAGTGAATTATGAGTATGTCAATTTTGTTTCATCGAATGTGCTTCTTTGGAACGAAAAAGATTTAATATTTTTACCTAAATGGTTAAAATACAGTCTTGCTCACATTATATATTTCTTTTTATAAATCTATGAGATGCCCATATTGCATAAAAGTTGAGAACCCCTTGTCTAAAATAAAGTCTGGCCTTTTGCTGTTTTTTGCAAAGCATATGTCATTGTTGGTACGTGATGTGGTGATACTGAGTCCTACCTTAAAATGTCTCTGCCTATGGTTTTCGCCCATTGGCTTTGAACGATACTTGTAGAACACGGTTTCCTAGGGTAAATCCGTTGAGATTCTGTATTGCAATCACCGCTTCTTCGTAGTTGGTCATTGTAACAAATCCAAAGCCTTTGCATTTTTGGGTGGTAAAATCTCTGATGACTTTGACGCTTTGCACGGCTCCAAACGGTCCGAAGAGCTGCCACAGAACGCTATCCTCTGTATCCGGAGCCAAGTTGTAGACAAAGATGCACCAGCCTGTAGCGTTCAGTGCTGTGGTGGTTGCAGCATTGCTGGATGCTGCTGCTGCTGCCGCTGCTGCCGCCGCTGATGCTGCTGTTGTGAGTGTTGTTGGTAGTATTGTGCTGGGCAGCAGACCAGCCTCCAAAGGTGAGTACCTGATCAAATAATGATATACGGTTTTACATGTGTACATCTGGTGCAAACAGATCGCAATATACTAGTGCTAAACACATGACCAACAATACACCATATAAACTGTAACACGACGACTGTAACACTATTATTATTGTGGTCAACATCACGCCTGCCGCCTTTACGTCTCAGTACCTGGTACCCATTTTAGACGGGGTCGACCTGAGAGCTAAATTCAGCTTTAAAAGGAAAAGATATCCGACTCGATACAGATTAAAACCCAAGAACATCAGACTGGCAGGCGAGCATGTAGCTCCTCCTTGAAAATCGCTTTATATACAGCTTGGGAACTCTGACACCTAGTGGACTCAACTGTCAACACAATTTCTGCTAAATCCTAGGGGGGTCTAAATTTCCTACACAGTTTCCTCTTATCCTTGAGTGATGATCCCTGGCATATCCCCGGATATTAATTTTCCTGGCCCCACGTGCCTCGCCAGACAATTGTCTTGACATCGACCTGACTGCCACGAGATACGAAGATAAGTGATATTGTGTATTTGTGTAATATTGTCTAATCTACGTATGTGCCGACGAAGGATCCATAGCCGCAACGTTCACGTTTGGTTTGTGTTTGTTATATTGTGCAGCTCGCTTATATACTTTTTGTTCGGTTTTATATCGTCTCAAATATCAAATATTGATTCACAAATCAGTCTGCTTACCTGAAGCGGCTTGAGGCTGTTGCATGATGAATTGGTCCAAAAAAGCGACGATGAGTGGGCGACAAGTATGTGGCCAGGGCCAGGGGTGCCATAGTTGCCAGATTTTTGTTCGAGCTGGGAGAGTTGGCAAATTTCACTGTTATGGGCTCCAAACAACCATCAGGAATGTGGTTATTCAATTTCTGAATGGCACGTTCGGCCTCGCACCTCTGGTCAAATCGAATGAATCCCACCCCTTTGGATAAACCTGTGAATTATTCATTGCTGTGTTAATTGGCTTGAAAAGATTGGTGAAAAAAAAAAAAGAACATAGCTAATTTTTACACTAACATTGTAGCAATCAGATTGCTTTCTTTAGAGTAAAATCCATCTACCTAATAAAATCACTTGTATGACTGAGAACTGCATAACTGATTATAAGAAGAAACTCCACAGGGGAGCATGTACAGCAGGAGTCTACCAATCATCAGTAGAAGTAATCTCTCGTCGCCAAATGTTTCGGCCCACGAGCTCCTAGACATTTTCAGACAGTGGGCCCACCTAGTTCAAGAGGCTCAGGGTTGATTTTCTCCTGCTGCACATATTACAGGACTGGCTAAAGCTAAGAAGTGTCAGACTGATGCTTTTTTGACAGAGTAACTAACTGATTGACTGATTGTTTGACTGTGAGTTTGTCCCTTCCGGTGGTAACCTAAAAGTAGGACATCCATGCAAAGTATTCCTGATGATTCTCTCTTCCTGGATGTCAGTCTTGCAGGGTACATCCCGGATACCCAGTTTAATCTCCCAAATGGTTATAAGAAAAGCACTCAGAACGATTATACCAAGTTTTAACTGGTTGTGCATTCCACTGAAGGTGAGGGAGAACTGCTAAGAATTAACAGAAAAGAGATTAATCCTGTACAGGGTGTCAAGATAATTAGGTGAGACAGTCCCTTCAAGAAAATGGATCACGTGATCGCACACGTCTAACATTTGTTAGAAATATGTGATGTTTACATCCAAGGTTTCAGGCAATTGTGTGTGTGTGTGTGTGTGTGTGTGTGTGTGTGTATGTGTGTGTATGTATGTGTGTGTGTGTGTGTTTACATATATATTAATTAATAAAAAGAAACATTTCGACAGGCAAACATTATAGGCACAGAGCTAAAGGGAAAAAAAGGTGTATGTATGGGGTGGAGGGATTAGATAAATGCCTGGACGAATTGGCCATATGACATATTTGTTCCTAGAGCACAGACTCGATCTAGGACTAATGTTTACTTGAGGTGGCGATATTTAACCCTATGCGCTTATTGCATGGCACATGACGATTGCTATAAACCATTCATGTTAATCCTCTGGTGCAGTTTTAGGTCATATAGAGCTGCCATTGTACTCTTCATTTCTGTTGTATTCTAGGAAATCCTTCCGTTATCATGGAATCTAGTACAGCACATCTAGCGTCTCTCAACAAGGTTGGTTTGAGAGTTTCTTCTTCGTCCTGTTCTTCTTCTTCTTCTTCTTCTTCTTCTTCTTCTTCTTCTTCTTCTTCTTCTTCTTCTTCTTCTTCTTCTTCTTCTTCTTCTTCTTCTTCTTCTTCTTCTTCTTCTTCTTCTTCTCAGTGTTGACAGGCTGTAAACTCCAGCGTAAAGTTTTGGTTGCCATCCACTACTGGACTTTATTCTTATTCCAGAACTTGAGTTTTGCGTTCACGTCCATTTAAACATCTGGATTTTTTAATGCAGACTGTTGGTTCCTCTCCTTTAAATAGATGCACTTCAAAGGAGAAACCCATAACTAGCCGACTTTTACGACATGCTTATTTTGTGGGAAGTGGGTCTATTCAGTCCACCCCACCCCCTTTTTTTCCCTTCAAACTAAGGGTCACAACCAACACACGGAAAGTCTAAGGGTTTCAACTGGATGTTATTGTTAAAACTTTTCTTTTGTCAGGGCCTGTTTATTGATAGCTGTCTGCGCCAAATATGTTGACATATCTTTTTTTTTCTCCGCATAACTGATGAAACAAGTCATTATCTAGACACTTCTCTAATTTCTAAACTGTAGAGAATTACGTCACCTATACAATTTACATGTAGTTTCTTTCTGCTCTGCAACTCTTAATGCCACTTATGTTTTGTTTTGTTTTTAACTAAAATGAAAGTAAAACAGAAACCAAAACGCTAAACTTTTAGTACAAGATATCACTTCAGCTGTATAAATATAAAACCTCTAACATTTCTATCTTTAAAATACACATAAAAATATATTCAAAACATTAACAAGAAATGTAAACAAATACAATCATAGTGCAAAAACAATGAAACCTCGAAACAAATCTCAGAAAAGAAAGAGAACCACTTGAAATCAATGTGCGTATTATTGTATCATGCATTTCCACCATGTACAAAAGCGACACTTTAAAATGGCTAGTGATCTAAAGGAAAGAAAATGTTACAGCATAAACAGCTAACCAGTATGTAACTATTCAATAAACAAGCAACTGAGAAATATAAACATGAATCTACTAATCGTCCAGGTATCGAAGGCAAGGCCCATTAATTTTCCCCTCAGATTTTATTTTTTAAATTTTTGTACATAATGAAAATGCCACAGGTTCTGTTTTCAAAGCTCCATTTACAAATAAAACACAAAGAAAGAAACACGGAAAATTAAATGAAGCTATAAACATTCAGTAGATATAGGGGAAAAGATAAAACCAGTTGAAACATAATATGAATGAAGAAATCAATCAGAACATCGACAATATCAAATTGAAAATTCATAGTAAAGAAATGAAACATTTAGATGGGGAATAATCTAACCAACTGAGTGGGGTAGTGCATTTATACACCCCTCCTAGTAGCAGGTGTGTAGGTCTTAAGTTCGATAACTGACACTGCCTTCCAGATCGCCCCAGCCTAAGATGAATACCAGGACATGTTCTGGGTAGTAAAGGCGGCTCTTATGGTGTTAATCTCATTAGCAATGATGTCTAACACTTTTTAGGATTGCACCATATTCTAATAGGTCTTAAAGCTTGAATAACTGATCTCTTCTCACCTACATGTACCTAACGAGTCACTAAGAATTGAACTTGACCTTATACTAACCGTACTTTACCGTGAAGTACTGTACTTTATCACTGAATACTGTCATGTACAATAAGTGCGTTACCAATGAGTACGATATTTACCAAGTATTTCACTTAACTATAATGTTACTATATAAAAAAGTACTATAACCACTGATTACGATATTTACCACGTACTTGACTTAACTAATGAGTATGTTACTATTTCAAAAAGTACTTTAATCACTGAGTAATTAGGCGACCCGTGTTCACAAAAAAAATGTATTTTACCACTGAGTAAGTTGCTGTACTATGAAGTACTTTACTTTACTACTGAGTATATTCTTCTTCTTCTTATTCTGCCTTTCTATCCCCCAATGGAGCATAGGCCCTCAACCAACTCATGCCAAGTCGTTCTATCCTTCGCCATTGCATGGAGCTCTCCCCATGTCCTCCCAATCTTTCTAACCTCGTTCTCCAGCTCTCTTCTCCATGTGTTTTTTGGCCTTCCTTTATTCCTATGCCCCTGTGGGTTCCAATGCAAAGACATTCTAGTAATGCTGTTCTCCTGTTTTCTCAGTGTGTGCCCTATCCAACGCCAGCGTCTTTTCCTCACTTCCTGATCCACTGGAGCCTGTTTAGTTCTCTCCCAAAGTTCTACATTAGTTAATATTACTGTACCATAAATAGTTTACTTTACTTTACTGACTACATTACTGGACTAAGAAGTACTTTACAACTGCGTACGTTAGTGTACCAAGAAGTACGTTACTGTACCATGAATACTTTACCTACGAGTACATTACTGGACTAAAAAGAACTTGACTTTCCAACAATGTACGTTAGTGTACCAAGAAGTACTTTACCACTGAGTACATTGTTGTACCATGAAGTTGTTTACTTTACCAATGAGAGACTTTACGAGACTACGAAGTACTTAACTTTACAACTGTGTTCGTTAATGTAAAAAGACGTACTTTACACCCGAGTAAGGTTCTGAACTATTTAGTACTTTACTTTTTATTCGTTCAACTAGTAAAAGATGTAACATAAAAGCATCGCGTTATAACAAAATTTTAATGCTCCACATAAAGCTAAATTTTGACATATGACCTTATAAAAGACTACTTTAAAAAAAATTCAAATCGCTAGCGGTGAGACGCTACACAATATACTACACAATAACACTAGAATGTACTGAGGTTATCATTGGTTCGTACGTCTAACTGGGACAATAGCAGTAAAACTGTATAGAGAAGGGGTAAAAAGAAACGAATAAAACTACCAAGTACACAGACAAAAATCATTCAGCAAAATGAATGAAGTTGAATATTAAAAAAAAAGAAAGAAATGCACAATATTAAGAAATCGCCTTTACATACTATAATGTTGACAAAATCAGAAAATGGAAAAGCAGAAATAAGACGTTCAAAGACGAAGCACAATTGTACAAATAAAACAAACAGAAATAGGACCAACATTTTCTGAACAAAATCTATAAACATAAATCAAATATTAAAGAGTAAGGGAAAAAAAAATAATTCCAAACTTAATCTGAAGGGACAACGGACCACCATGCAGTAGTACAAAAAAAAAAAAAAAAACAGAAAAAGAAAAGAAAATATAACCAACAAAAAATCAATCAAACTATTTAACAGAAACAGATGCCGAAGAAGAGCTGACCTGTGTGTGTGTCATAAAGAATGCGAGACGTAATAATCTTCCCACAGTGAGAGAACAACTTCTCCAAATCCTGCTGTGTCATTGACTTTGGCAGCCCACTTACATACAAGTTAGCACCCTTTATACTTTCGCTACTGGGCCTTGCATATGATACCTATAAAAATTAGTAATAGTTCATGTTTATTCCCTGTGTAATCGGGGTTCAAGGAAGGAATTGTCATGACATTTCTGCCAACCATTCTCTAGTAAAAGACCAGTAATGCGACAGTGCTGGTGTCTCCTCTTCAGCTGCAGTTGACAACTGGCAAGATGTCACCAGCTAAATGAAAAGGAATTAGTAAGCTGCATAACATAAAACCGGGAAGGAGGAAATCATAAGGAAAGTATACACAAGGAAAACTGGGAAATTATAGAAAATCAATGGCAAAGTAAACAGTATTTCAACAGATAACTCGTAAAGGGAGGTAAAGGTGGGTAAACTCAAGAGAATTATAATGCCAAGATTATGTTATTTAGCATGCATGATATGCTCACCTAGTGAATCTAATTTACAAGATACAGTTCTCAAGGAATTACAGTGACCAAATTTAGCTAGGAGTGAAAGAGAGGATGCAACCAAGCTTCTCAGTCCCACACCATTTGTCTCAAGGAATGTCAGAATTCATATTGCCTTGGTCTAACATCTGAGGAGCAGACACTGAGGCACCATGGCTTAGCAGGGGTGTGCTTTGTAAACTGGGGTAGTACCTGTGGTTTGATCATAAAGAATTCTTGATGTAACGATATTCCCAATCTGAGAGAATAGGGCCTCCAAGTCCAACTGTGTCATAGATTTGGGCAAGCCACTAATATATAAGTTAGCTCCTTTAATACTCTCAGAGCTTGGGCGTGCAAGGGAGACCTGAAAATTAACAGATGACCTGTAAATAATGTAAATTAAAAACAAGGCAAGAAGTCCAAAAAACAAATGAACATAAAAGAATCCTAACAAATAATGGCTGATCGACAGCGGTGGGGTATCTTAAAGAACTTATTTATTATGTCGGGGGTAATTTAGAAGTGTTAGTTGCAATAGTGGCAATAAGTTAGCAATTCGTGGGATCTTTAAATTTAATTGTAATATCAATAACTATCACTACATTTTCTTTATAATAGTGTCAGTATCTATTGATTATCTTCTATGTGTTTCAGAATGAGCGACAATACTTATTTATTTGTTTGTATATAAATATATATATAAATATAAAGTGAAGTAAAAGTGAAAGACCCTTTTCCACTCCTTTCATGTGTACTGGTTATTTGGAGCTAGACCTATATTTTGTTGACCAAGCGGCACTTGGTGGGTGATGTGGTCAGCATCACGCCGGCCGCCTTCACTTCCTAGGACTGCACCTGGTACCTGGTCAGGAACTGAGCCCACAACCTTCCGATCCAATTGGTCATCAGTTGATTCACCTGTAAACGACTTCGTCGATGGTCAGACAATATTTGGGTCTGTCTTCTTTGATCGCATCAACACGGCAAAAGTTTTTTTTTCTAGGGCTCTTGGTGGCGTGTAATGCTAAGCCATTTAATCTGGCGCACATAACCTAGTCACAATTATAACCTAAAGTTTCCGATTCGGGGATGCTGATTGAACGTGACAATTTTTTTTTTCAGCAAAGCACTTATCCGCTACCTAAGACACAATGATTTGACTTATTATTATTTAATTTGTTGGTGTTAAAAATCATTGATTACTTTTTTTAGTTAATAGTCTAAATGAAGGTTTTATTCTTTTACTTATGTAATAATCTGAATCAACAGCCACTCCTTTCTTATTTTGAATGTGTCCGTTAGTTTTCAGTCACCAAGTAGTGTTAATTTCATATCCTTTTATGTTGTATTTACTAAGATACCAATCTGCCCGAATTCCACCGTTGGACTCTTCGTTCTCCAAAGATTCCATGGCAGATGTTTCCAGTGTCCACAGAACCAGACTATAAAGTAGTGAATGCACTAGGATGTTCTTTTTGTGGCATTTAAAATCCCTATCTAACCACTAGAGAATTTGTTTGGTCAGAAGAATTCCTTTCATTGTTAGCTGTTCCGCAATGACGTTTCTTTATTTGTCCTACTTTATTGAGAATATCACTTTGCTTCTAGACTGTTTATTGAAAATCTTAGCTAGATATCTATTTCTCCAGTCTGCCGATATTTATCTTTTTCTTTTTTCCAGTTAAGAAGTCTGTGTTAAAAAATTTACACAGTAATTCAATTGATATGTTTATGTTTGCTTCTGTCTGGACATCTTATGGACCAAAAGCTTGCCTATCCTTCTGAAATTAGATAATATTTATAATTTTATGTTTAGATATTTTTTCTGGCATTTTGAAACCAATTCCCCTCTGGACAATTGATATTTTCGTGTCTTATAAAAGTGATATATTCAGTAGTTCCTCAATTTATTAAATTAGTTAGTTAATTTAAACTTTAATATTGCTCAGAACGTACCTAACACAAGTTTTGACAAGTGCACATTTGTACGGGTGCAAATGTCTCCATGGTTTCACTCAACGACTCCTGTTGCTGTCTCTTCTGTCATGTCATCGAAGTTTTGTCTCTTATCCGCCCTTATCTGAATTTATAACCTCTTTATTATCTTTTGTGTATTAATCTGTGGGTTTAGCCGCGATAGCTATGGTGTTACTGCTATTTAAATCTACCTTTTCTAATGAATAATTTCTTTAAACTGTTTCTAGAGCTTTGCTAGCCTGTATTACACCAGACCTTTCTTGATCCTCTTACGACATAGGTTACTATTCTGTTCCACTCTTATTAGCCCACATAATAAACAGGTATTTGTCACCTATAGAGTAACAACTCATTTCAAAGAACAAAAACAAAAACAAAAAAATAAAGTACAGTGAAATAAATAATGCAGCTTTATATAAAAATAAACTCGTCTCCCCAAAAAATTCACGTTAGTGTTAAAATACTAATGAAGTTCCTGTAGAATTCCCATCAACACGCATTCAGTCCAGAAAGAAATCAAACGAATTATAAAAACGTACGCTATATTCAAAGAGCGATAAATAAAGTTAGAAGTAAGTAAAATTAAAATACAAAGCGCAAACAAATAATCTATAACTTAGTAATCATAATAATGTTCCTGAAAAAAATAATATTAATTATTACAAGTATATACTGTTGGCCTCATTAAACCTCGAATAAACATTCGGACTTTTAATTTTAGCTTTCTTTCATTTGCATTTATTACAAACTACAGAAACTACTAAATTTATGTTTCGACCAAGGAATGTTAGTGTGGATTTTCCTCTTTTCCTTCTTCAGAATTCTGAGCTCTTGAGGTTCATTGCTGCAGATATCACCCGCCTCCATTCATCTCTCTGACTTCCCTTCTCTTTCCAGCTGGTGACAACAAGTGTTTACAGGTCTGTCTGGACATTATCTTTCCATTTTCTTTTTGGTCTGCCTCGTGGTTTACGACCATTCATCTCCCTTGTGTATACACTTTACTTCTCTGTCATCTGACATTCCTTTAATATGCCCCAACCATTTCAGCAGTGTGGATTTTATCTTATTTATATTCAGCTTCTTCCACTTTTATGTCATTGACAAGAAACAAACTGACAACGATTAAAAACAAAAGACAGTAGGTAAAGAATTTTTCTTCACTAGTGGCGAATGGAGTATTTGATACTAGACTCAAATTTGTTTATAGATCAGTCGGTAGTGATGTCGTTAACACATCATGCTGGCCGCTTTTACTGAGATTAAATTAAAGTAAAGAACCCTTGTCCCCAGGTATTCAGGCGTAGTGGGCATATAAGGCTAGACCTATATTTATATAGACCAATCGGCACTTGGTTGGTGATGTGGTCAGCATCACGCCGACCGCCTTTACTTCCCATAACTTATACGCTGGTCAACCAGGGAGTCAGGTCATTTTTGAAAAAAAAAATGGTCTGGCTCAGTCAGGACCCGAATCCACGACCTTCCTATCCGCAGGCAAGCGTCTAACCGCTACACCACGATGAATTCCGAGATTAAATATACTCTGACAAAATTCACATAGAAGTCACTCTCTACTCTCCATCTGTCAGATGGAGACAGTCTTGCTCAACACAACAGTTGCATCACTCATGTGATTTACGTGTTCAATAAAACAACATACATTAGTTATCTTAGTGTAAGGATTCCTAGACAAGGTATACCAGCGATCTAAAGTTGTTTATAACCCATTGTATCGCAACACGAGGTCGCTAGTTTGAGCTATCATTTTCTTCTTTCTTTTTTTTTTTTAGCGTCCATCGGTTGCAAACACCGGTGGAAAAATTAGGTTGTTCGTCTACTTGTGGACGTTGGAATTGTTCAAGAACTTGAGTATTTGCGTGCACATACGGTTTACTGATCTGGCTTATGTGTATACAGACTGTTAGCTCTTCGCCTCTTTGGCAAATGCATTTTAAAGCAAACAACCATAATACGTTGCCTTCTCTATTGTTACGATCTTCCTCTCATTAGTTGTAGTAAGGGCCCATGTTAGGCAGTGGTAGCCCAATGTGCACCCCCCCCCCCTTCACCAGGCACATTTAAAAAAAATTAGATTTGCTTATTAAAACCAAAAAAGAAATATTTTATATACTGTACCCTCTGTTTTCCGTTTCCCCCAGTTCTCTTAACTCAGTTCTGGTTGGCTAATTATATTTTGGTTTCAATCAGTCGGTTTGTTTCCCTTTTCCACGACTTTGTGCGTGTTGGGCATATAGGGTTAGACCTATGTTTTATAGACCAATCGGCACTCTGTGGGTAATGTGGTCAACAGCACACCTGTCGCTTTTACTTCATAGGAATTCACCTGGCTCACACACACAAGGCTGGGCTGACCTGCTAGCCAAAGTCATCATTTCAATCCTACATAAGTTCGGTTTCGTAGACTCGAACCCACGACCTTCAGTTGGGCAGGCAAGAGTCTAGCCGTTACACCACGATCGCTCCCAGAGGGTACATAATGCAACGGAAATACCCGAGGTTCCAGCTCTTCATTTTTGCCATCAGAAAATGTTCTAATTGGAGAGCTTCCTTTGAAGTCGGAGTGTATCTGCCGGAGAGGCAAGGAACCAACAGTCTGTATTCAAGAGAATGAGATCTGTAAAACTGATGCACACGCAACACTCAGGTTCTGGAGCAGGACTGCAGTTCAGTAGTGGACGAGCAACCAGAACTTTCCGCCAGAGTGTACAGCTGGTGAACGCGAAGAAGAAGAAGAAAAATTTTTTATAGCTGAATGCTTAATCTAGCCATGCCACCGAAACGTACATTAATTGAAAATAAATTTGTCTATAATATTTTTATTTTTTATTTTTACTAGCTTTAAAATTAGGGTAAAAATAAAGAGAATCAAAAGAAAAAATCATACAGACTTAAGTAAAAGACAAAAGAAAGGAATGAAGACCAGCAAGGGCGAAAAAAAAAACAGGAATTGTGAATGATGAATGCAATTTACGTTGAACTAAGAGAGAACTTACAAGCAAAGCATGACCACACATAAAGACCTACCTTAATGGTTTTATTCTGCAGTCTGAGACCATTCAAAGTGTTAATGGCTTTCTCAGCATCCTCTATACGTTTATAGTTCACAAAACCATAACCCAGGCTCTGACCTGTGGAGGCAATCAAAGAATCTTCTTCAGATGGTGTTAATAAACATTTCAACATTTAGTTCTGAAGCTAACATTTTCCACAGGTCAGAGAATGTTGCAGTTTTCTATTCGTCAACTGATTATCTTCAGTGTATGCTACCTAAACTGCTGACAGAGAAGTCTGGCGATCTTCTAGCAAACCTCTACCTTTCTTAAATGTTTGTGTATTCTAGACAAAGCAATAAGGTCTTACTGTGTTCGTAAATTGTTGCTGTGATTGTTATTCGACATTTGCTTCGTTAATATAAATTTCTGTAACCTATGGTGCCATTTTCAATGGGTTGAAATTAATTCTGTCCGTATTCCATAGTCGTGGATTTCAAGCTGTACGATAGACATAGCCAATGAGACACCTTTTTTTGGGGGTGCCTAGTTGACCATGTATCTTAGTGCACTTGTATTCATGGCGAGGCACAGACGCCGTCTGGAGGTGACAGGTTCAATTCCCGGCACGGTAACTATAGCTTTCGATTGTTATGTTGTCTAGTGTGTTCTTCTATCTTTCTACTTCTTTCTATGAGTGCCGTTCACAATACTTTCTGTTACTTGATTAATTCACCCAAGGGTAGGAGAGGATCTGCTAAGTAAGTAAGTTTGCTACTTATTGCTACTAAAGGGGAAACTAGACAGATTTCTAGTCAGATGGTACTTATCTATGCCGCCTCTTCGTTGGATACTGAGAAAGGAAACGGAGCACGTATAGGAATGTCTCGAGTGCAGCAATGTCAATTCTTGTTTCACTCTGGAGAAAATGGCTTGCCATAAAGGGTAACATTCGGTATAGTCTAGCAGTATGTGTTCTGCTGCCTTAGGCACCAAAACAACCAGTGCACAAAGTTGTTGATCCAGTTGTGATATCTGTATATATTTGTGGCAGTATTATTTCGCCGTTTTATTAGGTCAGCTATTTCATTATCAACAGACTACAAGCCACTGCGCAAATAAAAGCTAAATATCAGAAAATATACGCTTCAATATATTTAAAAAGCAATTTACAATCTAATCAATATCAACATCAACTTGAAAATGTAGACAGCTCAATTAAAATAATCGTTTCGGCACCAAACAAAACAATAATTGCCCTGTGCGTCAAAATATTATGAGCGCAAACAAAATAATGCGGTATAATTGTGTCGCTAATCATTTTTGCACTTCGCATCGTTCGAAATGCACCAAGCTGTTTAACTCTATTTGAAATGCCATGCCCAGTTAGGTTAGCCACTCTGGAAATATTGATGCAGTTTTCTTCAGTATTTTTAATATCACACTGCCTGTGGTGGTTTCAGGGCCTCATTGGTTGTGATTGGGGAAAGGGGGAAGGGGGGAGAAGATGAAAAAATCAAATACTTTTTAAACATGCATGTCGTATGAAAGTTAATATTAAATATAGACTGAGCAGCGGCTGGCCGAGTGGTTACAACGTCGGGTTTTCGTGCAGGAGACCCGCGTTCGAGCCCGGGAAGGTCATGGAGTTTTTCTGTCGGGGACAAAATCAAACATTTTAACCTTTACAGTCCGTGCGACAGCAGTAGCCATGCGGCAATAATCCTAAAGCTGACGATCCCACCTCCCCTCTCCCCCCCCCCCCCCCCCCCCATCCCTGTCTACACTGCTCTAAAAAGGTGGTAAAACAGACAGTAGTGGCAGACAAAGACAACATTTACTGTAGGCCCACCTGTGTCTGAGGCTAGAGTCCAGAAGTGGACAAATAACCAGAAATGTTCGCCAGAGTTTACAGCCGGTGAACGCGAAGAAGAAGGAGAAGAAGCAGAAGCATAGACACTGATAAATTAACAACTACATCGGGCTGAAAGAGTTTTAAGGCCGGGTGAAGTTGGAGCTAGTGGCTCTCAGTCCATTAAATAACTGCAATTTCTAGGGAAATAACATGATATTGTGAAAATAATGCAAGGCGTGGCCATATTGTCTGCCAGTATAACCAGTTTACAACGTCGAACCCAGCATTTGGGACGTGTTCCGTTTTTGGATTGCCATCCGAAATGTGGCTCTTAGAACCAGTGTGGTTTAAACCTTCGAATTGTAGTCCTTGGTGGGGAAATATGTAAAAACAGTAGCGAAGCTTGCACATAACGGCTGTAATTGTCGCGAACTATCAGTTGCCAAGACAAATGCATTTTCTTTCAATATTTTTTATTACTGTCTACTCTCAACAGCCAAGCGACGAGGAGGAAAACATCACGTGATGTCCTCTACAGTGTAATCGTTACCCTGCTAACGCTTAAACATGCAAACTGACACCCCCCCCCCCCCCCAAGCTTAAAATAATATACTCCACCATCAGGGAGAAGAGAAGAAGTAATTTACAGTATTTTTACTAGACAAAAATGTCACCCTTAACAAGCTATAATGTACTTAATGATGCTTAAAGATGTAGAAGAAAGAAGTGAAGACAAAAAGAAGAAAATAAAAATCTACAGCTACCACGCCCTGAATAGAACCTGTCCGTTTCAAGAGATCCCAGGCGCTTTAATTCTATGGTTTTTTTTTTTTTTTTTTTAACTATTTTATACAGTGCTATCATATTTTTCAGGCATAATTTGTTTTCTCAACTTTATGGTGAATATCGGCACCTTTGTTTGGACACTCTGGGGTGAGTACCAGCACCATTTTAGATACTTTCTCGTAAGTGCTTGCATCTTCTTTTTTTTTTTTTTTTTCCTAGAAAAAGAACCCTGACTTTAAAATACAATACAACCCGGGTCGAACTAATTACACGTTTCAAGACTTAAAAACACTATCTTACTAATTCGAGGAACAAAGGCCGTTGCATTATATTACATCATGATACAAATTGTTCATGCCAAAATGGCAATTTCGGCAAAGGAAATCATGGCTGACAGACGTTAATTAGTTGTAATTTAAAATATTCCAGGCGGAAGAAAGAAATAACAGCCATTTACAGTCAAATATAAGATATAAGAACAGAACAAGATGTAACCAACAATTCAAACTGACGACTATTTTAGTAAAAGCTGATAGAAGATGGGGGTTCACTCGTCGGTGACCAGGTCGCTCATTGGCTGGTCTGTAGACGACTTCGTCGCTGGTCGAAACAGTATATTTTTGTCTGTCTCCTTTGATCGCATCAACACCGCAGGAGTCCTTTTCGTGGTTCTTGGTGGCGCGCAATGCTACTAAGCCATTTTATATGGCGCATATAACTAAGTCACAATTATAACAGAACGCTCTCCCTTCAAGGATGTTGGTTGATCGTTAAAAATTTGTTTGCAGCAAAGCACCTTCTTACCTACGAAGATGACGGTTATCGCTCACCGCTGAAGCAGATAAACTAACCCAAAATCCCTATGACATCGTGTTATTACTCGCATTTTCGATACAAGACGCCTTGTCTTGTCTTGTCCACAATTGCCTCACAGCGTAGTGGGGAGTCGCAGTTTTCTATCCTGGGCCAGGTGTGTTGCACGTGTTGTTGTTAGTCCGTGTTGCCTCAGGATCTCTGATAAATTGTCTATCCATAGTACTCTCGGTCTGCCTCTTGCTCTAGGGCAGTAGTGCTGTTCGTTGTATGCTCGTAGAGGCAGTTGGTCGGTTTGCATTCGCATCAAGTGGCCAAACCACTCTATTTGTTGCTTCTTTGTGTATTGCAGGCATGGTGTGGTTCCTACAATTGATCTAATGTTCTCGTTTCGAACTCTGTCTCTCCTTGTAAGGAATACAAGACGCTCGGCTGAATTATCTTGTCTTTTTTCAACCTTGTTGTCGTTCCTTGGTTGTGACCTTATTATTATTTTATTTTTGTCAATTAAAATTATCACAGCAATACTGGTGTTTTCTAATTAACATATAGTTTTTACGAAGGATGGAACTAACTAAGCTTTAACTTGCTACTTAAATTTGAAGGTTCAACTTTTCTGAATATTTAAAACTGCACTAATGTTATTAAAAGTTGCAACAACAAATATATATATATATATATATATATATATATATATATATATATATATATATATTATATATATATATATATATATATATATATATATATATATGGTACTAACAGAATAGTTAATGCCGTAAATAATTAATGTTGTTGTTGTTGTTGTTATGATTATTATTATTCTATTCAACATAATTTTCCCAAACACTTAACATTAACCCTTAAATAACACAGCAGTTTAGTGAAGGACTGATCTTTCTAGCTATAACTTACTAATAAAAATTAAAGGTTAATTACTGTTATGTATTTTAAAACTGCACTGGTTTATGTTTACGTTTATACAACAGATCAGGATTATGGCACACGGGTAGTAACCCATAAGTGTTCCGTTCTACTTCTAACTCAAGCTTGAGTCCAAAGAATCTAAGCAGAGTGCACGAACTCCGTAGCACCATCGAGGATCCTGAAATACTTAGGGCGGATTTTTTACTCTAAATTTTCGTTAGGCTACTCTTTTCGATTTCAAACTGCCAAGGGATTTTTTATGTGTGCAACAATACACACAGGCGTTCCGATCTTACTACCCAGAGACCAGGGGAAATTACTATAAGTCCAAGTGAAAAAAATCCCAGCCTGGTGATTGAACACGGGACCACCATCAGTCGGTGCAGACGCCATGCCTCGACACCACGCAGCAATAAATGAATATGTATGGTTATAACAGAATAATTAATCCTGTACACATTATGCGCTCACAGGAACTCTTCGACAGCTGTACATTTGAAAGAAGAAGCCGACCAGATCGTTGCCATGTTAAAGGTTTGCAAAATGAAACATATGCACAACTGATCCGTCCGTGTGTCACCGGGGCCCTCACGGAAAGCAAAGAATAACTGGTGCCTGCGCATAATAGAGGGAATTAAATCGTAGGATAGGATAACTAATGTATAACTTTTGGAGAGAACTAAACAGGCTTCAGTGGACCAAGAGGTGAGTAAAAGACGCTGGCGTTGGATAGGACACACACTGAGAAAACAGGAGA